TTTTGCTTGTTTAGTTTTTTTAGTTCTCGAAAGTGCCGCAGCACGCCTTGGCGCCACAACTAACCCCCACTGCTGCAGCCGCCAAGCCGCTGTTCTGCTTGGTGCGTGCGTGCGTTCGCATGATCATGTGGCACTCGAAGGCTATCGCCGCTATCGGTTGTCACCAGTAGTCTGCGCAGTCAGGAGCGTTAGATAACGACAGCAGCAGCACCATTCCCGCAATGGTGTACTGCTGCGTTCCTTTTTGCAAGTCGAGCGATCGGCGGTCAACTGGGATATCGTTTCACGAGTTCCCCGTCACCCAGATTCGACAGGAGTGGTTGAAGAAGATCTCTCGACAGGCTGAAGGTAAGGCACTGAAAGTGCTGTATTGCATGCACTGCAAGATCTGACTAGTGGAATGCAGTTCAAAACTTTTTTGCGCGCTATGTATGCTGCTCAGCGTTGTTGGCTGGCGTCTAGAAACACAAGTGCTGTTTGTGGGATTCGTGGACACCGATCGTGTACACAGCCCATCAGGCCCTCAGCCAGGGAAAGGGGGGGGGGGGGCACGTAATTCTGTTGAACTATGTGTTTTTACCAAAATAAATAATAAAAATAGGCGTTTTTCTCAAATAGTCAAGGTTTTCAGCAAGTGCCCCCCGCCACGAAAAAATTTCCTGGCTAAGGGGCTGCAGCCCATGCTACATTTTTCCTTTGTTGTACTGTCCTTTGTTGCCGCAAGACTCCGAGCACGTGGCCGTGTCAGGGATAGAGCACTTATTTTCAACTATTCCGCTCTGAAGCCCAGCGGTGTACCTTTGTTGAGAAATTTGTTTTATTTATTACACTATTGTTTTGCGCTGGCGTTGTTTTATAACAAAATTAAGGGAAATAGGCGCAAATGGATCTGCCCTGAACTGATGCAGCTGCTAGTAAATTGAAATGGTAAGGGATTCAGCTAGTGAATACACTAGAGATCCTTTTCTGTCACGTTGTGAAGGTTACTAAAAGGCTAATTCTTAATCGATTGCCTACTATCTGATAATTCTGGTGCGGTCTTAAATACAATATTTGTAAAACCAGGAAAACAGCCATGGTAGCCAAGCGACCGCAGCAAGGTATGCAGCTTGCATTTCAAGCCAGAAGATTACAGAGAAGGCCTGAAGCTGCGCAAACTAAAACCAGATGCCATACCTTCAATATTGCATGCATCAGCATGCATCACAGGCATGATGTGAACGAAACAATTGGCAGCTGAAGCATCAGGAATAGTACATTATTGGTGGGTAATACCATGTGGGTTAATGCTAAAAGTTCGTGGAATAGAATAGGGACAGTGCAAAGTGATTTAGCCAGTTAGAACTCATGCTTTAGATTATAAATAAAACTCTCGTTTCTATACAACGTTATTCCCATGAGGGAAACGGAGCACGCTAGAGCTGTTGCCTCGTAATGCTTTGTATGTGGATGCTCCAGTAAAGGCGTGGGCGCACCGCTGATGTGAGACACGCGGAAATGCTAGCGACGCTCGAACAGAGGCCATAACTTCAATAAACTGTGTCTGATAATATATGTATGTACGAGAAATTGCTGTAACGTTGCGATAATCCGCCGGTTTTGTCGCACGCTTCCATCGTTAGACGTTCGCTAGACCCAAAGCACCCAGACGATAGCACAACTGCGCCCCTCTGTCGTCATCCGTGCACAGTATGACAACGATATGCTTGAAGGGCGACATTCAGGTCATAAAAACTTACACGGGTTATCGCATGCGTCGTTCGTACCGTATGTCGTCTTCATTTACGTCGTAGACACGTCGGTTTCAAGTTTCAACTTGTTACATGCAAGATCGCACCGGCTCGCCCACGAACGAATTATGTTTGCGGCTGCTAGACAGCGGTTAGGTGGGGCGCCGCTGCTTAAAATAAAGCGAGGAAATAAGGCTTACGTTCTCTGGGTTATGTGTCGCATATTCCTTTCGTTTGCCTGCACTTAGATGGGGACGCAAAAGCGCTCGCGCAAAGATTGAGGTCCGGTAACGAGCATCCCGAAGCCATCCACCACGGTGCTTCTCACAACCAGAATGTTGCTTCGAGACGTTAAATCAGTGGATTGCTCGATCCACGCGTTAGAAACTAGAACAATGAGAGGAACGTGCACACACGAGTGCACCACAACGGTCGTGCGTCGTCTGCTATGGGGGTAAGTGGTGGCGGCATCTGGCGGTACCTCCGGTCCCTACACGCCAATTTTTAGCTCCATACGCCTCCGTAGGGATGGCGCCGGTGAGCAGGTCGTAAGTTTATAGAGGAGGTCGTGGTCAGTACCCCCCCCCCCCAATAGACATGTAAAGGGTTGCAGCCTCTCGTCACCTCCTTCAAGCCGGCCTTCGCTAGAGTGACACATCCTGTTACAACCGCTGGATACATAACAACACATTTCACAAGACACTACTTCACTTCATACACAACACCAGCCTAACGGCGCACATTTAACAAACATACTCGCAAAAATATTATGTTTAATGGCAAGTCTTTGTCGCAATAAAAATAAAGCTAGCCCAACACGTAGCTGACGAATAAGCGGAGGGGGAACATTCTTTTCAACATGCTCTAGGGAACTGGCAGCGGGCATGTAGGGTAGAAGAAGAAGAACCTTGGAGTAAGATGCGTCATTATATATTTGTTATTCTATTTTTCAATTCACGTTCATTTTTTAGTTACAATAACGACTAGTCTACCTGATCTGAAGGGGGAAATATAACAATTATTGCATTGTTTTCGTTTTACGTACGTTATTTTTCTCATAAAATTATGTTATTAACTCATGCAATCCTTTTTTGGCGATTCCCCTAAGTGGGGCATGAGTCATATTTGAAGGCATCATCATCATCATTATCATAAGGTGTGTTCTGACGCAGTTCCAACGAAAATGAAGTTCTGATTCGCTTAACTGGTCCTTTTCAGTGAGACTGCCTGATTTTACTCCAGTTTTTGAAGCGGAGCTCGTGGCGATTATTTTAACTCTTCGAAAATTTCCGTCAAATCAAAACAACGCGGTCATAATGATGGATTCTCTTTCAGTTTCTGCAGCTCTGACAGCTTCAGAGAACTCTCGAATTCTAAGGACATTCAAAATATAATACCCCCGCAGTTGAGACTACTGAAGTTACTATGGGTTCCGGGACACTGTGGATTAAGATCAAATGAATTGGCCGATTCCTTAGCATCAAGTGGCACTTGATGGCCCAGTTTTATCCGTACTGCCAGATGTTGAATATATTACATCAATAAGATATCGAAAATCAGCAATCTCCACTGATACGATAGAAAAAAGTAACTACATGGACAGAATATAACCACCTCAAGTTTCCATGGCGACCCCACTGGAGCCAGTCCGGAAAGCTCGAAGTTTTAATTACTAAATTGCGATGTCATGTCCCCCCCCCCCCTTAAACCTGTACCTACCCAGAGCTGGTCAGACAATTTCACCCCTCTGCGCATTCTGCGGAGAAATGGAATCATTAGAACATTATTTTTTGTATTGTCGCCGATACGCTATACTTCGAAAAAGGTTACTAGTTATTCTATTTCTGAAAATAGGCATTAGATTGACGGTGGAAACTGCACTAAGCTTTGGTGCCTCAGTTTTGAGACATTGCCACAGGGATGCTTTCAATGCCGTTTGTGATTATATTCAGGCATCCTAGCATATACCTTTGTGATCTTCAATCAAATAATTATTATTTATTACTCCCCCCAGAAAATTCTAAATGACAAAGTGAAGTAAACGCAGCTGAGTGGTAATCACAATACCTGAAATCTCAAAATTTCTCAAGTGGGCGTTTCTATTTTTTTTCTCGTTTGCTCTCTTTTATGTGGTTTTCCTTACATTGGTCATATTATAATAGAAATTCATTACACATAGTTAAAATTATCACAGAAGAAATGCACAATGCTTTCTTAGCCAATCCCCGTGAGCGGGTATGAGCCATTAGTCCAGGGAAACAAACAAACAAACAGATAGGAAGGACTGCGCAAGGGGAGGGACTGTACAGTGTTTTCGAGCAATCCTTCCTTTCTGAGACTAGCCCCTAAAGGTTTGCTACTGGAGCGGAAACACCCTTCCCTACATGACCAGATTAAGGCTTGGCACCAACTAGCGCATCCGGAAGTTTCAAGCGCCTGAGAATAAGCGTGCACCTAATTCTAGGTACACTGGCCTCAAGCATAATCGCCTCTATCGAAAATGTGGCCGCCGTGGCCAGGATTCGGTCCCGCGACCTGCGGGTCGGCAGTCGAGAACCATAACGAGCACCATGCCTCTACCTCTTTTAAGATTGTGTCTAGTATTACCTTCAACCAAACTGCTTCCCTGATAGTCATGCTTATATCTATTGCGGATTACGGGAGAGCCAATCAGCCGACTACAGCGGTGCGTAGCACCCACACATAATCACCTCATCACGTGACAGCACATTGACATTACCGATCGCTAAAATTTGCGTAGCCGTCGTTAAACTACGCGACCTTGTACCAACATGACGCCACATGATAACTTTGCGAATTGACATCGCGGTTCGATCAAATGTGAAGCAGAGCAGCACAGCTTATCATACGTCTTTCGTGACATCATTCCCATACTTTGGGACGGTCCAAGTATACGTGTGCATCGCTTAGGGCTTCCACATACCTAAGACGCAGAAGTAGGACACCACACTGCTGAACTCAGACCCCAACGAGCAGGTCTGGGTGACGGGGCTGGCAGAGGCAGCCGCCAAGAAGCAGTAGTTCCTGGCCGGCTCGTCGTTTTCCTCAATCGAGAAAACCGTTTGCCTTGTAATAAATATTCTGTCACGTCACGTGAGACTTCCATAAGCCTGTTGTTTGCTGGGATAATCAGTCTAAAATCCTCGAAAAAGCGATGACACGAGGTGGTCAACGTGTGTTAACAAAAGGAAACAAAACCGCTTTTATTCAAGCAGATATACACCAGCTAATTAAGATCTATAAGCCGGTGGCCTGCTAGCTCAGTCGTCGGTTAGAGCGTCGTGCTAATAACGCGAAGGTCGTAGGTTCGATCCCTGCGCAGGCCAAATTTTTCTTAATTTATTTTTCGCATGATGAAATAACCTGAGCTGATGTTGGAAAGGGCATGTTCGATCTCTTTCAAAATAACCAGATAAATAAAACATCTGCCAATAAAGAACCAGGGGAATTATTCAAAGCAGGGGAGGGGGAAGCTCAGCTCATTTTATAGGTTTCTTACCTTAACGAACGCATATATAGGTTTGTTCCATATACAGTGCTCACAGTTTCATATTATTCATACTCCATTACTTCTTTCTCAGTTATACAAATTTACAGATTTGGTGTGGTAAGCCGTTGCCTCATTTCATGTAAAGACGCCGTGTTACGGAGGGAGGCTGAATGTAATTTAAATATATCAACAACTACAGCATTTTAAAGACCAGAAAATTTCACGAGACAGACCTCTCACGTGAGCGACAACGGCCTCCTGTGCCGCAGGCGGTGGAGACTGAGCTCTTTAAGACACCTGTTTGTCACATTCCTGTTTCCTACGCAACGCTCCATTAGGTCAACCGCTTCACAGCTGTTCCCACCGTGTCAAGCGTGACTCGATCAAGTATTTTGTACAGCGAGTAGACAGCCCATCGTCTGTATGAATGAAAGAATTATGAATGGAGAACTGGCGAGCTGGTGGGAAGAGGCGCTGCGGAAAGCGGTGACATGGGTTACTGTAATGCTCGACAGATGGGGCCTGGTGTCTGCGGAAGGAAAAGGTGCACCATTCTTGCGTTGTTTCGAGGAGAAATTCGGGGTAGTTTTGTGAAAGCTGGTCTGTTAGTTTTCTCAGGCTGGTATTTACACACTTTCATTCATTTCAAAGGTGTTAGCAAAGATACATTGTAATCCTCTTTATCATCATCATCACCATCATCATCCACAGCACCCACAGATGCCTCACAGATGAGCAGCGATTGGTTGGGTACGTCGGGGCGTACGTACGTGTTCACAAGGCGCACTGCACACCTAACAGCGCCTGCTTACTCTGCGGCTGTGCGGCGTGCTACGAGCATGATTAGCGCTTTTACAAGGCGAATTTCAAATGTACGACAGTGGCAATAAACTGGCTGAGGCACGCTTTTCATTGAAAAGGCTTACTAATACGCGCTGCGTGAACCCATCATAGAACGTGCGACATACCAAGCCAAGCTTCAGGAACAAAAATCTCTGGAGTGCACTCAATAATGAAAAAGACAGGCCCATAGCCATGGGGGGTGGGCGGATTGTCCTAGATGCATTGGTCACTGCCGAAAGTTTGCTGAAGGAAGTGTTTCACCAAAAATAAATAATGAAATATGTTTTTCCAAGCCCTCAGCAAGTGCCCCCTAAAACTCATGGGTATGGAGCTGATTAGGGGGCGATAATAAGTACGTCTGAGAGCGCTTCATTCACATTTCGCTGTTTTATCTTCCAGACCTTACCAGCCAACGAAAGTTTTCAGACAACTCACGCTCCCAATAAGAACTCAGCAACTCCTCGGATCCTACAGATAATGGTACCGAGGAAAATATCTATGCGGTTAATTTTGTGGAGAAGGATTCTAATATGGTTCACACGCTACCACTTAGACTTCTTTTGTTTAGACAAGGCAGGCCAGAATTATGTTTGAATTAGAAAGAACCAAATAGCAATAGGCGCCTAATTTGACTATCCTGATTGATTGATATGGGGGGTTTAACGTCCCCAAACTACTATTGAATATGAGAGGCGCCGTAGTGGAGGACTCCGGAAATTTCGACCACCTGAGGTTCTTTAACGTGCACCCAACTCTGAGCACACGTACGGGCCTGCAGCATTTTCACCTCCATCGAAAATTTAGGCGCCGCCGCCGGGATTGGATACCGCGACCAGCGGGTCAGCAGCCGAGTACCTTAGCCACTAGACCACCGTGGTGAGGTTAATTTGACACTCCTGAGCAGATATATTGGCTTTGGTATGTTACCGAAATTTCAAACCCTATGCATATTTGAATCGTTTTGAATATAGGAACACAAGAACGAAAATTCGTTTCAGCATATTCTGAGCCGCGAACTGCTGCGTGCTATTCATTTGCACCCAAAAAACATTTGGCTCTTGTAAATAAAAAAATTCCGCCATATCCACGAAGTGAATGATGATGAGTGGGCGAAGCTCCGGAGGTAAACCTGGTAAACCATGAATCCTCTGTACATTTTGCCCACTCGATTTTATTACATCGCTCCCCCTAGCATACGTCGCCGCACTAAATCGAACGATTGCTTTCAACCAATGACACGCGCCATATGTGACATCATTCCTATTTTATAAGATCTCGCGTCTTTCATCAACTACAAGTACCGCTTTCTAGTTTATAACATCTTGCATCTTTTCATCATCAGCTACAAGTACCACCATCTAGTAAACACTACAAGAACTAAACGAGAGGTGGCTACATACAGGAGACGGTACCGCCATCTAGTGAACACTGCAAGAACTAAACTAGAGGTGGCTACATACAGGGGACGGTACCGCCATCTAGTGAACACTGCAAGAACTAAACTAGAGGTGGCTACATACAGGCTACAGGGGACGCACAGCCCACGCCCTAAGGAGCTTCGCCCCTAAAAAGAGGCCCATCTGATTTATATGGTTTTGAGGCATGCTCTTAGGGAACCAAGTAGCTTGTTTCCAGCGTATTCTCTCGCGCTGTGCTTCCATGACTACACTCCAAGGTCAGCGAAGTGCTAGGAAGAATCCAGCATTCAAATCACTTGTCTAAAGGTTAAAAAAGACAACGAGCATGGCACAAAGCTTGGCCAAGTTTATTTTAGAGCATGATGTGCTAAAGCCTCCAGCGTACGCGACATGCAAGTGACCTTGAGCCAAATGCCAGAGCCGTTATCCGGGCAGCAAGACGAGAACATACAAGGAATCAGTCACAAGAGTTCCGCGCTTCTTGGAGAGACGCATGGTGTCTTGCGAGGTGCGGTGCAGCAGCGTCCGGTGTGCGAGTGCTCAGGACAGCGTCGTGTCTTTGCGACAAACACTAGGGAAAGGCCAAGAATAATAACACCCAGGGGCCGGAAGCAATGCCTCCGTGTGGACCAGAGCACACTATATGGTGCACTGTGGTGGTATGTGCCATTGCGAACGTGTCTATACCTCTTTTGAGATTGTGGCTAGTATTACCTTCAACCAAACTGCTTTACCGATAGTCATTCAGTCCTTATATCTATTGTGGATCAATGGAGAGCCAGCCAGTTTTTTTCTTTCTTTCCCAGCTATACTCAAATGAGTTACGATGTAACTTTTATTGGCTGGCACCGCTTCCTCTCCTACAGATACTGGTGGCCAGAGAAAAGAGTTCCGAAATATTGATGTACTCAGTATGCCCACTCGTCCAGCATGTGCCCTGTATTCTCCACTTTTGGCAGATCAAGCAACACTGATGATGGCAGCCTTACGCTTGGTGTTGCAAGATGAGTGTTGGCGAGGACCCGCCTTCGTGCCCGTGTAAAGTCACGTTTTGTGGGACCACTCAATGCAGCTCTGCTGTACTTTAGATTGTGAGGAAGATGAGAGCGGGGATGGAGGACAGAAGAAAGGTAACGGAGCAGAGGGAAAAGGTGGGCCTCGGAAACATGGAACACGTGCGGAAAGCGAAGCGCCTCGTCCGGACCCCCCACCGCAGACGGGAGCAGTCGGCGAAAGTGCAGGGCTTGACGTAGAAGAATTCGAGTCCCTCGTCATCGTCTCCAGTAGATGACCAGGAGGAGGAGCGCGCAACTGCCGACTCGCATGCATGCTCCGCATGGCAGTGTACACACGACCTGTAACGAGAGGCCCAGCCGCGGGTAACCGACAACGCGCCTCTGAGCCGTCACTTTGCGGTGGGAACAGGCATCGCTTATGCATGCGTGGTGCGAACGCTGTACTCCCGCTGCGCCCTTCGCGGCTCGTCGCTATCCTCCTTACCCACTCTTCTTCTTCACGCACCCACCTTGCTTCGCGGCGCGCCTTATCCTTCGTGTGCGGCACCTTTCTGCCTCAACGTCGTTCTTACTTTTTATATCTTTTTGTTATTATTATTCACGCGTACTCTAGTCTCCACGGGAATCCGAAAAGCGGTGGCGAGCGCCGTTCTCGAGTGCCCTGCGAGCGACCACCGCACTTCGCGCGGGTTGCGCTAATGATATGCGAAGCCTTATCGAAAGGCAGAACGCGAAGCGTATTTGTTCGCTTCTTAACGTTGTCATATCAGCGTGCATCTATTCAGGCGAGCCTGGGCGTAAAACTGGCTGAATGGGGACCCAACAGCTTAACGGTGTATAAAGAGATGCACCGGCAGTCGCGGAAACGTCATTGAACCATACGCAAGAACAAACCTCAGCCAACGGCGAAATTGTTTAAATTGGTATATTCGAGTAGGGTTTTTTCCTTGTATTTTTGCTAATTTGCTATAACGTGTCCTTGAAGATTTTTTTTTCTTTTGAGTATATGGGCGATTGGACCACTTATTAGAAGTCTGCGAAGCAAGGAGCAGATGCAGCCAGTGGCGTTTTCGAGTAGCGCATCATCAGTGAAATGGTGTTTCTGGTCGGTGAGCCACCATCATAGTGCAAATAATTTTAAAGAATTTCTAGTAATAGTCAGAAATAAAGTTGTTTCTCTCTCTCTCTCTCGCTCCGGCAATAGTCATTCACTATCAGAATCCCCTCTACATTCCGCCGAGATAAGGCACTTTATATGAAGGGACAATCACATCATGTTTGCCCCTCAAACACTCGGTGATCTGGTCGTTCTTCACTTATTCTCATTTCGACTCATCGGGCTTCTGTCGAGCCCGTGGGTTGAGGGAGCTCGCCGTGCGTTGTGTAAGACACACGAGCGCCGCGCGGGGTAGGTGACGTCGTTGTGGTAGTGGCTTCAGGCGGGCACGCTTGCTGGCCTTGACACAGATTGCCTTTGCAGAGACAATGACGTTCGGTCTGGACTCCCAGGCGTAACAGTACGGATTGTCCCAGTATTTCAAGAATGAAGCATTTCTTGG